ACCACTACTACTAAAGGTATTTCAGAGCATAGAAAAGGATGGAATACTCCCAAACTCATTCTGTGAAGCCAGCATAACCCTGATACCAAAACCTTGTAAAGACACCACAAAAAAAGAAAATTACAGACCAGTATCCCTCATGAACATTGTCACAAAAATCCTCAACAAAATTCTAGCCTGTAAAATTCAGCAATATATCAAAAAATAATTCACCATGATCAATTGGGATTTATACCAGGTATGCAGTGATGTTTCAACATTAGAAAAACAATCAATGTAATCCATCACATAAATAAAAAAGAAGACAAGAACCACATGATCTTATCAATTGATGCAGAAAAGGCATTTGACAAAGTCCAACGCCCATTCATGATAAAAACTCTCAACAAAATAGGAATAGAAGGGAAATTTCTCAATATAAGTAAGGGCATTTATACAAAGCCAATAGCCAACTTCATCCTAAATGGAGAGACTTTGAAAGCATTCCCCTTGAGAACGGGAACCAGAGAAGAATGCCCTTTATCATATCTCTTATTCACCATTGTGCTGGAGGTCCTAGCCAGAGCAATTTGGCTAGAAAAAGAAATAAAGGGCATCCAAATTGGTAGGGAAGGAGTCAAAGTATCGCTATTTGCAGATGATATAATCTTATACACAGAAAACCCCAAAGAATCCCCAAGAAAACTACTGGAACTAATAGAAGATTTCAGCAAAGTTTCAGGATACAAAAATCAGTTTGATTCCTTTACAGCAACAAAGAGAACCTCGAAGAGGAAATCACCAAATCAATACCATTTACAATAGCCCACAAGAAGATAAAATATTTAGGACTAAATCTAACAGGAGATGTAAAAGACCTATACGATGAAAACTACAAGACACTACTGCAGGAAACCAAAAGAGACCTGCATAAATGGAAAAACATACCTTGCTCATGAATAGGTAGACTCAACATAGTGAAAATGTCAGTCCTACCCAAAGCGATCTACAGACGCAGGGCAATCCCAATCCAAATTCCACCAGCATTTTTCAATGAGATGGAGAAACAAACCACCAACTTTATACGGAAAGGGAAGAGGCCCCGAATAGGTAAAGCATTACTCAAGAAGAAGAACAAAGTGGAAGACCTCACACTACCTGATTTTAGAACCTATTATATTGCCACAGTAGGCAAAACAGCCTGGTACTGGGACAACGACAGATACATAGACCAATAGAACACAATTGAGAATCCAGACATAAATTTATCCACCTATGAGCAGCTGATATTTGACAAAGGCCCAAAATCTGTTAACTGGGGAAAAGACAGTCTCTTTAACAAATGGTGCTGGCATAACTGGATATCCATCTGCAAAAAACTGAAACAAGACCCATACCTC